TCCAATTTAGTGACATTTTTACATTTACAGAATAAATTACTGAAAAACCTTCTATTTGATAATCAAATTATCATGGAACACATATTTAGACAACATTTTATCATTTTAGAGCTTCCTTTTTTTAATATTATCAAAATGTTAAAAAGCCTGCAAAATCCCACAATTAACTAAATATAGACAGACAGAAATAAACTTCATGAATTTTAAGTTAAAAAAAAAATGTCAAAATATAAACCCCAAAGTAAATGTTCCCATAAGGAGAGTTTTATCGGCCTTGGACTCATTTACTTTATTTATTCACATGATGAATATAGAGTTGAAGGAAAGAGAGAACTGAGGCCAATTAATCTATCTTAGCCTCAATTTGTACGGAAAAAGGACAAACTCTATAGCATGCCCAAGTCGTGGTGAGTTATGCTGATCTTTGGACTGTCTGTCCTTCTTTCACCCCTACCCTTCTGTTTCATAGCAATACTGGCTCCTGCAGGCCCTACTAATGCTGGATACCACCTGGAGTCATCCAGGAGGTGACCCTGGGAAGGACTAGAGGGCACGACAACGGGAGGAGCCTCTCTCTCTGTCCCACACGTACTTCGCCTCTAGCAACCGCTGCATGCCCCTATGTCCTGCATTCTCTCCTGCTCACATGACAAACCTGCCATGATTCCCGGCATCCCTGAACCCCAGGCAGCCTTCAGTGACCTCAGCTCTTCTCATTAGCCTGCCAACAAGGAGTGGTATCAGCTTCCTGTCTGTTTAATCTCTGGGTTTTCTTCCGATTTCCTGCATAACCGCCCAGCTCTTCCATTACTAACCTAGATTCAATTTCCCTTGTTTTAAATTCTTACAGACCCTAGTTGGACCTTAACTGACACATTAACTGTATTTCCTTTAAAGGTATAGAAGTTTACTACTGCTTGTTAGCTCCCCTACAAAGGCAAATATAAAGACATACAGTGGATGTGTAAGGAAGCACAATAAAACACCAAATATTTCTGTAGAATTAAAGGACTCAATAACTCAACTCAATAAATAGAATGCATAGGTTATAAGAAGACAATATTTACTACTCCTTAGCATACTACAATTCACTAGAAAATAGAGAGTTCCATCCTTAATTTAGTCCAAGACAGTTCAAATCTTGAAAAACTTAAACAGACTTTGTAAAAATATTCTATACCCCTAAAACCATGTTGTATTGACTGGACAGATTAGGCTATTGCCTGGTATACATTTTGAGGGTAAAAGATCTCAATAAAATAGCATTTTCCTTTTTTAACCACCAAAGGCTGGAAATGAGGTTCAGTGTGTCACTCTGTTTCTGAATATATCACTACCCAAACAAGCTAAGTCAAAGGAAAAAAAAAAAAGTAAATGGACTAATATCTGGTCTTTGATGTAGTGCAGCAGATGAGGAAGTTTATGCCATACCTTAGCATCTTTACACTTACATAAAATTTTAGGGTGTAACATTATGAAATCATCACACTAAAAACTGACCAAACATTAATGGGTCTCTAGCTATAATTCTCCACTATGAAGGCTTAGATAAAGCTCAAGTATATATGTTTCATCTGAAAACCTCCAGTAATTATTATCCTTGGCATCTTCTTTGGTAATTACAAGAAAAAACTCAAACATGTTCATTTTGCTTTTTATTTTTGTTAATAATACCTGTTTGCTTATTACTTACAATACTAATAACTTTTTTCTAAGTAGTGTGAATTATTTTGCTAAAGACAAACCTAATTATTCCCATGATTAATGCCATTTCCTGTCTGAAAATCTTCCATAATGGCTGCTAATGAGATGAAATGTAAAACATCATCAACAATGAAGGTACAGGAACTCTCATTCACTGCTGGTTGGAATGCAAAATAGTGCAGCCACTTTGGAAGACAGTTTGGCAGTTTCTTACAAAAATAAACATAATCTTACCATATGATCCAGTAATTTAGCTCCTTGGTATTTTTTTATATGACTTGAAAACTTACCCCTACACAAACCCTACACATGGATATTTATAGCAACGTTATTCATAATCGCCAAAACTTCTAAGCAACCAAGATATCTTTCAAAGGTGAATGGATGAATGAACTGTGGTACATACAGACAATGGAACATTATTCAGGTACAAAGAAATAAGATATCAAGTCACAAAAGATGTGGAAAGATCTTAAATGCATATTACAAAGTGAAAGAAGCCAATCTGAAAGGATGACATACTATATAATTCCAACTATATGACATTCTGGAAAAGTTCAAACTCTGGAGAAAGCAAAAAGATCAGTGGTTGCCAGTGAATTTGCATCTTTCAAATTATAAAACATTTATCCTCTAAAATTTAGAGAAGGTAAGGGATGACTAGATGAAACACAGAGTATTTTTAAGGCAGTGAAAATACTACGCATGATACCATAATGAAGGATACAAGTTTACTACACATTTGTCCAAATCCATAGAATGAAGAACATTAAGAGTGAACCCTAATGTACGCTATGGACTTGGGGTGATAATGATGTGTCAATGCAGGTCGATCAGTGGTAATAAATGCACCCCTCTGGGATAAGATCTAAGTTGACTACCATATTTATTCACTTAAAACTGACCAGACTCTCTCACATTATGTTCACCATTGTCAACACTGGGTAATGTAGTCAGAAGTCCCAACATCCTTACTTGCGATTTGCCCAACTTTACTTAGTAGCCTCTTCGAGCAACGTATGTAATATTCATGCTTCTGATGATTTGCCAGTATCCCAGCCCAGAAAGCTTATACTTGTAGTGATTTATAATAACAGGGGCCTGGATTTGTATCTGACAGCAGAGGTGCTGGCCTGTGATAAAACACAGCCTCCAGGCCTGACTCTACAGCTCAGGGCAGTTGTCATCTTCTGCCCTTCATCACCTAAGCTCTCTATGGGTCATGGTTATTTAAGACTCAGTGTTACCTTGGCTAAAATCAAAAATCGTGTCAGACCCATAGTCAGTGTTAAATAAATCTTTTCGATTGATGACTTGCATCTCTACCTGTCGTTTTCCTTCTCTTGCACCCATATATCTTGTATTTTTCACTTACATGTGTTACACAGAATAATAATCTATATTAGTATTTCCTACCAAACCAATATTCTTTTCCAATAAATATAAATACAAAGTAGTTTTCTTGAATTCTTAAGAGCTCAAAAGAAATATTATAACCACAAACCTAAATAAAATAAGTGGAATTTTAGAGGATAAATATTTTTTCATTTGAAAGATATAAATTCATTTATTATAATTGAAGATACAAATTAGTTTTGCTCCTTTGTTCACATGACATCAATGTAAGCATCGTGTTTGTGTATATGTCACAAGAATTCCTTCCCTAGGTTGTATGTAACATAAAGCATGCTGGCCACATAAACCAAACATACTTTGCTTTATTTTAGAGGCAGAAATAAAGAGAACAAAATACTGTACATCTTATAAAATAACATGTCATCTATTAATAGATCACAGAATATGATAATATGTTGGATACTCTTTCTTTCAATTTTGCAAGCCCTCCCCCCTCAAATACCTCCCCCACCCTGCAAAAAACACACACAAATTGTGCTATGTCCCATCAGGGTCTTGTCCTCTCTCTTCTGCAAGTTGTGAAGCAAGGTCTTGGAGGTGTACTGACTACTTGACAATCATGTGCTGATATCAGTCCAAAGGCACCATCTTAATTATGAAGACTTGATTTATTTCATTTATGGTGATGGCTCCGACTTCCTATTATGACATGGAGATAAAGTTTCAGTAATAAGAAACATAGGAAATGCCTTTTCTGATTTGATTAGAAAGAAGAATATGTAACCTCTGGCTGTGTTTATTTTGTTTTCCAGAATGTTTAATTCATTATTTTAAAATAGCTGAGGTTTTAAAAGAGGTATTTTGGCTTTAATTGACTTTAAAATTAATACCAAGATTTTGGAGGATGGCACTTACTAAATTATTTGCACAATTATAAACAGAGCCTGTAAGTCTGGGACAATTAGAATAGAGCCTATTATAGAGTTTATCTTTCATATGTCATTTTGGCCAAATACAAGATTTAAAATTATGAATTCTGGATGAATGCTTCAGCTTGGAAAAGACTCAAGAAGTGGGCTAGTATAAACTTAAATGGAAAAAAAGTGAAATAAAGATACAGATAAATCAGGAACTTATTTTAACAAAGTCTCAACATGGAGGAGTTGAGAAAAGTCTGGTTAGCATAGTGCTGGCTTGATGGCGCTACTGAGGAAGAAAAGGATAATGAGGAGAAAGAAGGTGAGGAGAACTAGCAAAAATTTGGATCCTCTCACAGACTGGCCTTGAATAATAATCCAGGATCCAAATCCTCTTGAGGAAGGAATTGAATGTCCAGCACAAACATGGCCAGTTATCTGAGAATGAAGAAGTCACCCTCAATCACAGACATGTATGTCATGAGACCAGCTCAATATAGTGGCTCAAAAACATAGTCAGACCACAGAGAGCATCTAGGGGCTATAGTTATCTTTTCCCCTCAGGCAGGCATGTGAATGATCTTGGCTCATTTATGTCAAGGAAAGTATCTCTATCTTTGACCCCATCCCTACTCTTTTCATTTTATTTCCTTTTCTAGTTTAAAATAATTTGCTAGTTGTTAACTATATTCTAAGAATACTTATTTTTTAATTCATTCCACAATTTTGCTGAGCATCTATTATGTGCCCAGCCCTGTTCTAGATGGTTCATCCATGAACCACTCAGAAAAAAATCTTGCTGACATAGAATTTTGCAATCTAAGAGACAGTAAATAAACATATATTTCCTTATATATACATAATATCTCATAATTTATATATTTTTTTATGTGCATAACACAACAGAGTAGCAGATCAGGGGTGTTGGGATGGGAGCCTTGCTATTTAAAAAGAGAACTCAGGAAAGATCTCACTGAAAGTGATATTTCAGTCAAAAGCTAAAAAAAGGAGTATAAGCGAGTCATGTGCACACACGGGGAAGAGCACGCCCACCAGAGTGAACCAAAGTTCCAAGGCATAGAAGCAAGCATGCGTGGAGCTGCCACAAAAGCTCCAGGAAGCCAGGACGACAAGAAAAGGATGACTGAAGGACAGAGAAATAGAAAACTGTGTCAGAGAGGCAGTGAAGTAGGGTCCATGGAAGGTCTTGGAGGCCACGGGGTTTTCTCCAGAGGGACTTAGCAGAGGAGAGACTTGTTCAGTGTGTGATTTTGAGGGGCTCTCTCTGGCTGCTGTGTTGAGGATCCACGGAAGGGGAGTAACGGCAGAGGCAGGGAGAACAATTGGGAAGGCATTCTGCTTAGTTTCTGAGTGCTCTTTTTGAAATCAAAGTTTGTAGAACCATCTTAAGAAAAATAAAAAGCACGTCCTGATACTGTTTGGATGGATGAGAACAGAAATAGGAAAATCACAAAATCGTGTGGGCTCCTGTCAAGTGGTATGGAATTTTAGAGAAAAAATGTATTCAAGGAACAAGGGCAAAGTGCTTGGAGCTGAAAAGTTTAAAGGTCAGTCAAGTTTGTATTTCACATCTCTAGCCTTTCAAGTAGATCAAAGATGCTTGTCTTTGTGTGACTAATTCATGGGGCTGCCAGATGACCACATATGGTGGGGTGGCCTCTGTTTTATGAGCCTACCCCACCTGCTGTTCTCCGTAGGGGTTCTGACTTCCTATTTACCCTGCTTGTCTTACACTGGCTGTTCAGTGCAGCATGGGGAAAAAGGGAAGACTTGGATTTGGGGTTTTCAGGGGCTGCTGACCATTTTGGGTGATCAAATCATAGGATGAACAATGTTATTTCACTTCATTCACCAAAGACTACACAGAATTTTCAAGAAGAAAATGTTTCCAAGAAAATCATTCATGGGGTCTAGATTTGAAATTCCTTGGTCTGATGCCCAGCTAAGCAACCTCTTAAGTCTCAGCTCATGGAAATCTCAACCTTCCTTTCTAGAAGAGCATACCAGACATATTATCTGTGTTTGACATGTGGAAGGATTAGGAAAAATATGGAAAAGACTACAGAGCAGAGAGGAGGAGTTGAAGGGGATTAGGCAACAGGTAGTCCTCTGATAGCATTCACACATAATATTTGCGTTGCAAAGCACTATTCACTCCCCTGATCTTATGAAATGAATTCATAGACAATTTCAGCACCCCAAACATTATACTACAAAGAAATGTTGGAAAAATATCTTTGATATTTCTTCACTACTTTGTTTCTTTCCAAAATTATATCATTCAGTTTTTGCAGGTTTTTGATTAAGTGATGTTTTTTTTTTCATGTTTGACAATATTTTAAAAGTTATGTAATCATGGACCTGAAAATCCAAGAAATTAATGAATGACTGACTCACCAAAAAAAATCATAATTTTTAAAAATCTTTGAGTTGCTATTGATGTTAGTGTATTTAATAAACCATTTGATGTCAAGACTTTTAATTATAATGGTTTGCAGTATCTTGAGTCTCAAGCATTCTGCCTCTGCTTTTCACCGAAAGGCAGCTCAGCCTTCTAGATGCCCACTGCCTATATGGTGTTGCAGCAAACACTTTAATGAAGAACTCTCTGAGCACATTTTGCTTATTATGAAGCTTCTTGTCCTTTAAGTTCCTAAGCATTTCTCAAACTTTTACTCTTTCTTTTATTTCATGATGCTACTACACAGGAAAGTTCACTCCCTAAATCTTTTAGGATCATGGAAATCATTAGAGTCATCTCATGCAAATTCAACCTGTTTTCCGCTGTTCCCAGTTATGGCCAACAAGCCTGACTGAAGTTCAATGACTCTCCACGTGGCCTCACAACACCAGCTCTGAGGAAGGAGTACACAGAAATATCTGCAATATTAACCTGGTCCAGTGAAAATAGGTTGGACTGAAAAGCAGCACTGAACACATGAACCATGTCTCAGGAAAACACTAACAGATTCCTGGCCTCTCACCATTAGAAGTGCTCATGATTAATAGACACTGAAAAATAAAAGTCAAGGACATAAAGAAAACGCTTCAGAACATCAAGCACAAGAAATTAACAACGTAGAGATTAAAGGGATTAGAAGGAAAATGATAGAAATAGAAGATGAAGTAGAGCCAAATTACTAAATGAAATATAAAAGGATGCTAAGATATAACAGAAAGATATGAACACTGTGTCCCAGAAAAATCTGGAACAGAATAGTCAACACTGAGTAAAATCTTGATGAAGTTGCCAGATTCAAGAATAACAATAACTCGTCTGGACATTAAATAAAAAAAAAAACATGTTTAAAGTCCTAAAGGGAGGAAGGAAAGAATTTTTAAATTTTGGATGGTTTCAGACTTTCCCAAAGCAATATTTAAGGATGGAATAGCATTTTTAAAAATTCACAAAACTTTGCACATTATTGCAATTATTGCAATTATTCTTGAGGGATAAAGACAAAGACTATCAAAATTCAATAAATATAGTATTTATGAGTGTTTCATGAAAAAGTCTTATCCACAAAATCTAAACAATTAAGGGCTAAACCAAAATAATAAATAATAAAGCTCTCATAGAAAAGAATTAAGGCAAATGCCAACTGTAAATAAAAAAGAAAATAAAAGGCTATAAATATTAAAATGTAGGGAAGCACTATATGCCTAGCAGCAACTGGGAGGTGATGAATGTGGTGAGGAAGCTGGGAAAATGTTAATTGCACTCCCTCATCTTCATTAAAAAATACAGGTTTTGGTATCTAAGAAATGCAGCAAAATTAATCCCCTGAAAATAGGACTAAAATTCTTTTTTAGGACTCATGTACACAATACCAAAAAGAAAAACAAAAATAACTATTTAGTAGTTATACAGTAGTTCATTAATAAACCTTGAATTCCAAAAAGTTAATGTCTAGTTTTAATGGACTAGAATAAAAAGACTAACAATAACAAAAACTAGATACACACACACACCAGAAATAACTCAACCATCCTGATACTTCACTATTTTCTTAAATCACTATTTAGCCAAAGAGGAAACCTCAAACTTTACATTGCAGAGTACCTAGAAAGTAGAAGAATTGAAAACATGTCAGTACTATGAGATATGCTTAAAGTAGTGCTTATAGAAAAATGTATAACTATAGATACACAAGAAAGAAAGAAAATTAAACCAAATTGAGAAGTGAGGAATTGACTAACCAAACACAACTTAGAAAAGGAAATAGAGTAATTTAATAAAGAGAAAATAAAATTAATGTATTAGAAGACAAAAGTAAAATAAATTCAAGACCTTATACATATTTACCATCTTGATGTATGTACAGTATCTTTTTTTTTTTTTTCATATGAAAAATCATGACAAACAAGATGTATCCCAAAGTTCCATTCAGAGCTACAGTTCTGTCTTTTCAGCTGAGTCATCTTGTTTAAAGAATATCAAGTGATTCCTTATTTCAAATAATACAACATTGAATTCATTTGTGTGTGCTGCAACCCCTAAAATGCCCATGTTCCAAATATCCAAATTAACTCTACCCCTCAAACCAGCCCTTCAACTCCACCTGGTCCGGTTTTTCCCCTTTTGAAAAAGTCTATTTAAAAATTAAGAGAAAGTCAAAAATTTTTCTTTTGAAAGTTAAAAGTCTTCTTAAATATAGTTTACATACAGAAATTTCATCCTTTTTAGTCCTATATTTTGTTTCAATATTTGCAGTCATATAACATCACCAAATCAAGCTAGAGAACATTTCCAACATCACAAAAAATTTCCTCCCTTGCGCCCTTTGAAATCAAAACACAGCCGCCACCCCCGCTTAGCGGCGCCGCCGACAGGGACTGCTGCTGTACCGGCCGCTGCAGCCGCCCCAGGCTGCTGGCCTGCCTGGGCTTGAGCAGGTCGGGGCCCGTGGCCCCAGGGGCAGCCCCCGTCACAGCCACGCTCTGGCCGCCCCCACCGCGCACCCTTTTCAGGTGTTGGCCAGCCCAGCGGGGCCCACGGTGCAGGTTTTTGCAAGAGCAGACCCTTGAGTTTGGTTTATCATCGATAGCTCTCTTAGGTTATGGCCCCTGGAGTTCATCAAAGTGAAAACTTTGGTCTCCTGGATAATCGATGCCCTGGATATTGGGGCAGCAGACACACGTGGGGCAGTGGTGAACTATGCTAGCACTGTGAAGATCGAGTTCCACCTCCAGCCCCACTCAGATAAACAGTCCCTGAAACAGGCTGTGGCGCGGATCACACCCTTGTCTGCAGGCACCACGTTGGGCTTGGCCATCCAGGTAGTGATGGGTGAAGCCTTCACCGAGGAGGCAGGAGCTCGGGGGCCCACTTTCAGCATCCCTAAGGTGGCTATCATCATGACAGATGGGAAGCCCCAGGACCAGATGATACAGGTGGCAGCTAGGGCCCGAACATCTGGTACTATGCTATGAGAGTGGACCGGGCAGACATGGAGTCCTTCAAGCTGATTGCCAGTGAGCCCCTAGATGAGCATGTTTTATACGTGGAAACCTGTGGGGTCATTGAGAAACTTTCCTCTGGATTCCAGGAAACATTTTGTGTCCTGGACTCATGTATGCTTGGCACACACCAGTGCAAGCACGTGTGTGTCAGTGATGGGGAAGGCGAGCACCACTGTGAGTGTAGCCAAGGACATTCCTTGAATGCTGATAAGAAGATGTGTTCAGCTATCCGTAAGGGCGCTCTTAACACTCATGGATGTGAGCACATGTGCGTGAACAACAGGGCTGGCTCTTATCACTGTGAGCTCTATGAAGGTTATACCTTGAATGACAACAAGAAAACGTGTTCAGCTTAAGACAAATGTGCTCTTGGGACACGTGGCTGTCAGCACATTTGTGTGAATGACAGAGCTGGGTCCCACCACTGTGAATGCTATGAAGGGTACACTCTGAATGCAGATAATAAAACATGTTCAGTTCGTAACAAATGTGCCCTGGGCTCTCACAGCTGCCAGCACATCTGTGTGAGTGATGGGGCAGCGTCCTACCACTGTGATTATTACCCCAGTTATACCTTACATGAAGACAAGAAGACAAGTTCAGCCATTGAAGAAGCAGAAAGACTCATCTCTACAGAAGATGTTTGTGGATGTGAAGCCGCACTGGCATTCCAAGATAAGGTCAGCTTATATCTGCAGAGACTGACCACCAAACTTGATTCCATTTTGGAAAAGTTGCAAGCAAATGAACATGGACAAATACATCGTTAAATTGCTCAGATTTTTCACTTGGAAATACGGAGGGCGTGCTGTACTTTATACTTCTGCTTATTCCAATGTTCCTGTGAATAATTTGCTGTGACAAATGATTGAATATTACTGGATAAGTAGTATAAGGATCTTCTGGAGAATCAGTACAGTTTTTTAAAAGAAACAAATGTCCAGATCCTTTTTAAGAGCAAACTTTAGTGTCTCTAAGCTATGACTGTGAAATTATTGGTAGGAAATAGAATGAAAATTTTGTGATTCCTTCATTTACTGATTGAGCCATTTAATTTTTAAATATTTATGTTAGTAAGATAACCATACTTACAATGAGATCTTTTGATCTACTTTCTTTTGAAATAATATAGTATAAACCAGTCTTATTACTAAGAATGTAAATTGTACAAAGTATTTACACATTAAAAAATTCATATAATTGAGGTGAATATAATTTAGAACTGTTTAACACTTCTTGTTTTTAGCTAGATTATTGCTGAAACTGTGATCAGGGGATTGTAATACACATATTTAAAAATAATTAACACAGATCAAGTGATCATTACATGCGATTTAAAGACTTCAGTTGTGCATTAAGAGTGTTACAATTTTTATCAAGGGGAAAAAAATCCAAAACTTATTTTACTTTAGGATCAAATAAATAAAATCATACATTTATAAATACTGCTGTAACAAGTGACAAAACTTAATGTTCTCTTTAAATGCTAGTGATAAGCCTATTTTTCACTTACATGATTTGACACATAAAATGTTTCTCAGCTTTAAAGCTTATAACTTTTAGAGAAACCAGTCCTTTACATTGTGTACTACTCAATTCTTTTTTTGGTTTGTATTGTCTTTCATATAATAAAAAGATTTTCTTAAAAAAAAAAAAAGAAATCAAAACCCACCCTGACCCCCAGTCCTTGGCAACCACTGATCTGATTTCTGTCCCTACAATTTGTCCTTCTCCAGATTGTCATATACATGGAATTTACAGCATGCAGCTTTTTGGTGGAGGGAGGAGATCTGATTTTTTTTTTTTTATCTAGCATAATTATTTAGAGGTTCATCCATGTTGTTAAACATTTTTATCCCTTTCTATTACTCATTCCTTTTTATTACTAAGTAGTAGTTAATGGGCATCCGGGTGTTTCCAGTTTTGGGGTATAATAAACAAAGCTGCTATAAACATTTGTGTATTTGTGTATATGCCTTGTAGGCATATGTTTCTATTTCTTTTGGCTAAATAGCTAGGAGTGGGACTGCTGAGTTGTATAGTAAATGTACATTTAAATTTGTATGAAATCACTAAAATGTTTTCCAAAGTGTCTGTACCATTTTGCTTACTCACCAAAACTATGTATTAGTTCTAATAGCTACAGATTCACACCAACATGCAGGTTTACCTTTTTTTTTTCCATTCTGGTGGGTGTGTTGTGGTGCTTACTGTAGTTTTCAATAGGCATTTCCCTAATGACTAAAGGCTTTAAGCATGTTTTTTTAAAATATTTATTTGACATCAGTATCTTTTCTATGGTAAATTATCTATTTGATTCTTTTGTACATTTTATTTTATTGAGCTTCTTATTATTGAGTTATAAGAGTTGTTTTTAATATTCTGATAGAAATCCTTTATCAGATATACGTTAGCAAATATTTTCTCATAATCTGTGTACTGTTTTGTTTATTTCCCTTAAAGACAGAAGTTAGAAGTTTGATGAATTTCAATTCTCAATTTTCCTACTTTGATGTTATGATTTATGTAGTCCATTTAAGAAATCTTTACCTTGAAGTTTGTTTCAGGTTTTACAGTTAATTTTATGATCCATTTTGGGTTGATCTTTTTGTATATTAGAGAGGTATACTTTAAGTTTCCTTTTTTGTGTTTGGATGGTTCATTCTTTGTTTTTTTTTGAGAGGGCATCTCTCATATTTATTGATCAAATGGTTGTTAACAACAATAAAATTCTTTATAGGGTACTCAATGCACAGTCATTGATCAACCCCAAGCCTGTATCTCAACAGTCTCTAATCTTCTGAAGCATGACAAACAAGTTCTTACATGGTGAACAAGGTCTTACATAGTGAATAAGTTCTTATATGGTGAACAGTGCAAGGGCAGTTATATCACAGAAACTTTCGGTTTTGATCACGCATCATGAACTATAAACAATCAAGTCAGATATGATTATTCGTTTGACTTTATGCATAATTTATATGTGAATCCCACATTTCTCCCTTATTATTATTAT